AGTGTGAGTAGGAGGTGGGTCACATTCCTGATGGCCTGGCCATGGAGCTGAGGAAAAGTCAGAGTGCAGAGTATCTCTACTTCTTTTCCTTTGGGTAGATACAGGGAAGGAGGGACGGGAGCAGGAGTTGAAAAACTACCTATTGGGTGCTCACTACATGGATGCAATATACTGTTGAGATTCACTTGAGGTGGCTGGCAAAATATTAGGGAAAATTATAGATTAGTCTGAAGCCTTTTGGAAGGCCAAAAGGTTTTATTGGGACAAGTTGAAGGCAGCTGGCATGTTAGGGAAGAGATAGGGAAGACAAAAGGCTTTTCCAGTTTAAGTCTGTTTACCCACATGCCTTTGTCTCTACTGTTTACTCATGCCAACTTTGTGCTGGATAGTTCTCAGGGGGGAGGGGAGGAATCAAAGGGGAATTACCTGCTAATAGTATTTACTCTGGTCCTGGAACCTAAAGCTTTTATCAATCATAAAACCACTTTTTTAACCATGTTAACTATCCACAAGTGTGGTGACTTAGAACCTCTGTTAGGAAATCTTTTACTGAATAAAGGTGTGGATGTACAGGGAGTCTTGGTGGATTGGTTGCATTTCGCCCTCTGAAAGCAGCCAACAACCATCCCCAGCCCACTTGAATCACTGTAATGGTGTGAGAATAAATTTATTCATCCGTTCGTTGAGTCAGGGTCTGCAGGCCAGACCTCTGCACATAGTGATAAACGTCTCAATATACTGTGCTCACTACCTAACTGTGCTCACTACCTGGATGCAATATACTCAAGTAACAAACCTGAATCTAAAATAAAATTGAAGTTTTAAAAAATATACCACCTGGATCTAAAATAAAATTTAACTTTTAAAAATATAATGTCTTTTGCAGCAACATGGATATAGCTGGAGGCCATTATTCAAAGTGAAGTAACTCAGGAACGGATAATCAACAACCATATGGTCTCAGTCATGAGCTAAGTGAGAGGGAGCTAAGCTATGGATATGCAAAGGCATACAGTGTGGTATAATGAACTTGGAGACTCAAGAGGGAGGATGAGAAGGGAATGAGGGATTAAAAAACTACATACTGAGTACAATGTACACAACTTGGGTGACAGGTGCATTAAAATCTCAGACTTCACCACTATGTAATCCATCTATATAACCAAAACCGCTTGTACCCCAAAAGCCATTGAAATAAAATTAAAAAAAAAAAAATTCAAGCCACATATCAAGGATAGCAGAGCCACCCTATTTTAGCCTTTGACTATATACCTCTGAACTGTTTCAATAGAATAAACTTCTAGCATATTAAAAAAATAGATCTAGAACTCCAAATAAATCCACACAAATATGCTCAACTGATTTTTGACAAAGGTGCAAAAGCAATTCAATGGAAGAAAGACAGCCCTTTCAAAAATTGCTGCAGGTACAATCAGATGTTCACAGTCAGAAAATGAATTTTGACCTAACCCTCTCACCTTATGAAAAAAACATTTAATTCAAAATGGGTAACAAAACTGAAATGTAAAATGCAAAACTATAAACTTTTAGAAGGAAATAGGAAAAAAAAATATTTTGGATCTAGGGATTGAAGAGTTTGCATGACACTAACAGAAGTATCTATAAAATAATAAATATCAGTAAGTTAGACTTCATCAAAATTAAAACTTTGCTCTTCAAAAGGTCTTGTTATAATAATGAAAACACAAGCCACAGACCAGGAGAAAATATTTGCAAACCATATGTCCAGCAAATGACTCATACCTAAAATATATTTTTAAAATTTCCAAAATACAGTATTTAAAAACCCAAACAATGATCATAAAACACGAAAAGGCATTTCACTGAAGAAAATATATGTATAGTAAATAAACATATGAAAAGATGTTTAACATCACTAGTCATTAGAGAAATACAAATTAAGAGACAATATCCTTACTCGCTTATTAGAACAGCTAAAAAAAAAAAAAAAAACAATAACAAACGTTTGATGAGGGGGCAAAGAAACTGGATACAGCAGTCTGCCCTGGGGGTTAGGTTCCAAGACCCCCAGTGGATGCCTGAAGCTACAGATAGTACTGAGCCCTATATATATCTATATATATATAAATATGTAGCTATCTTTAGATTTTTTGCATGCATACATATAATAGTTTATAGACAAAGTATGAGTTAATAATGAAACAGAAAAATCATAATGTGCTATAATAAGTTTTGTGAATATGGGCTCTCTCTCAAAATACTTTCTTGTACTGCACTTACCCGTCTTACCTGTCTTACTGGTCTTCTTGTGATGACGTGATAAAAGGCCTATGCTGATGAAATGAAGGGAGGTGAATGACACAGGAACTGTGAGGTAGCATTAGGCTACTACTGTCAGGAGGATCAACTGCTTCAGGTGATTCTGGATCATAGAACCACGATGCTATCAATGGTTGAATGTCAAGAGCAGAAAATACTGACGACTAAAGGGCAGGTAGTATATAGTATAAATATGTTGGACAAAAGGAAGATTCACATCCCAGGCGGGAGGGCATGGGGTTTCATTGTGCTACTCCGAACAGCACACAATTTGGAACTTATGAATTATTTCTAAAATTTCCCATTTAACACTTTTGGACCACAGTTGACTGTGGGTTAATTGCAATCAAGGGAAGTGAAACCACAGATAAGGGGTTTATGACACCATTGTGTTTCATAAGTTGATCATGAGAATGCAAAATGGTACAGCCAATCTGGAAAACCGTTAGGCAGTTTCCTAAAAAATTAAATGCATGCTTCCCATATGGGCATTACTCCAGAGAAACAAAAACTTACGTTTACACAAAAACCTGTATGAAGTGTTCGCTTCATCTTTATTTGTGGTACAGTCATCCATACTAGAGAATACCACTTTCAATAAAAAGAAATGAGCTATTGACAGGTACAACTGCTTGATCTTAAGGACATTATGCTGAATAAGAAAAGCCAAAGGTCACACACTATATTATTCCATTGCTACAACAATATGTAAGTAACAGTATTACAGAGCTAAAGAACAAATTAGTGATGATGGAACAGTTGTATGTTGGTTGCAGTAGATACACAAATTCACACACATGATGAAGTAGAATTATACACATGCACTATCCTTGCCAATTTCCTGTTTTCTGCATTGTAGTTACAAGATGTAAGTAACCACTGGGAGAAATTAAAGGCACATGCATCCATGTGGTAAGTAAATGGACAACAAACTGTGTAATCCTATTCAATAATAAAAATGATTAGAAAAACCATAAAAAAAACTTTCACGGGTGATGCCCATGATGGATTAATGGGTATCAAATTTGTCCTCCTCCAACAAATTAGAAAATAGAAAAATAGAAAAGGTAACTCTATGCAGACACTGGACAAAAGTGAAGGACTGTGAGCCTTTTTTTTTTTTTTTTGAGGCGGAGTCTTGCTCAGCCACCCAGGCTGGAATGCAGTGGCACAATCTCAGTTCACTGCAACCACCACCTTCTGGGTTCAAGCAATTCCCCCATCTCAGCCTCTGAGTAGCTGGGATTACAGGCACCTGCTATCACTCCCTGCTAATTTTTGTGTTTTAGTAAAGATGGGGTATCACCATTTTGGCCAGGCTGGTCTTGAACTCTGACCTCAGGTGAGCCAATCACCTTGGCCTCCCAAAGTGCTAGGATAAGAGGCGTGAGCCACTGCACCCGGACAGAACTGTGATTTTTTAAAGATATGAGAATTAATTCTATAGTCAACTGATTTTATGCCTAGGACACTCTCCAAAGCTGGAAACAGAAAGTTGAGTTCAAAAAGAATAGTGGTCTTAATGGGCAGAGGAGAAAAATCACAATTAGGGGAGGGGAGGAGAAGGGAGGGGAGAGGATTGTTGTAATCTGTGGCCTTCTTGAGTGAGGTCTCACCCACCCCTAGGTTGATCAGTAAAAACTGCAGCTTTAACTTCTTGTAGCTAACTGAAAACCAGCAACTTTGCTGTAAGAGAAGACTAACTTGATTTACAGCAGAGGTATAAACCTACAACTTTTTAAGTCAAAAGTAGAAAAATTACTTAGGAAGGGACGAGGAAATTCTGTAGTTGTTATCCAAAGGTTACAGTCCCAGTTCTTGAAGAGCACCAGAGCAGCCAGAAATTTAATAAGATCCTGGAAACAGAAGGGCAGAGAAGGGTAAAATGAGCTCTCTAAACATCTTTGGCAAACTGAAATGATGCATGCACAGGGGAGACTCTAGAGAGCATGGCAAATGTAAAAACCAAGAGGGATTTGGTAACTGCTTGCTACACTAAATGCATCCTCCATCCCACACAAAACAACCAACAGTGGGTGGAAGGCTTATGGACTCAAGTGTTTGATCTTAACCTTTGTCTAAATGATTGGCTGACTGCTAAGTTATGCGGACACAGGGACTAACCCTAGCAGGCAAGAATAAATTTTGAAATGAATTTAAAAACTAAGCAGAGACAGGAATAACTTTACATCATTTGTAAGACAGATTCCACAGTTTGAGTTCAGTCAAAATGTAAAATTTAAAACAATACAAATCCCTTAGATATAAAACAAAACTGAGCTGCTATAATATACTGCCTAAAATGTCCAGCTGTCAACCAAAAATTATTAAACATGTAAAAACATGGGAAAGTCAGATATACGAAAGGAAAAAAAGCAGTCAGTGAAAACTAAGTCTGTACGAGCCCAGATATTTGTTGAGTCAAGACTTCAACAAGACTTCATAACAAATATATTCAAATAATTAAAGATAAATTCAAAATGAGTCAATAAAGAAACCACAATAAAAAAAACATGAAGTATAAAAAAAGAGCCAGCACACTTCATTCTACATAAGTCCTACCACCAGGTTTCTTTAAATGTGTGTATTTAACAGTTAAATAAGACCTGAAAAGGGAGTTGGCCTAAAAATAATTTATCATGAAACATCAGTTTCTTCAGAGTTAATAATTCTATGCTAACGATACCAAAAAACCTTGATTAGACTTTGTGGCTTATATTTATTTGATATTAAAAAGCAAAGTTGAGTTCACACACAGAAAGCAATGGCAAAGGACACTGCCTCCAACAGAAAATATGAACCGAAACATGATGGAAAAAACGTTTATATGTAATATAATAAATAGATATCATGTGAACACAGACACATAGACTAGAATACCATGTGATAATAGAAGTAGCCTGAAATGCTACATTTGCAAGCCAAGGAATGCCAGAAATTGCCAGTAAACCATCAGAAGTTAGGAATAAGGAAGGATTCTCTCCCTTACAGTTTTTCAAAGACATCATGGTCCTGACAACACCTTGATTTCAGACTTCTAGCTTCTAGAAGTGAGATAATAAACTTCTGTTGCTTTAAGTCATTCAGTTTGTATAGTATTTTGTTAAGCAGTTCTAGGAAATTAATACAAATATGCCACCTAACATAGTTCTCTCCCATTGGACTATTTACTAATCAATTATTTAAAATTAGTATTTGGAAAAGATGTTTTTTAATGAATAATTAATCAGGTCTCTTTTGATAAAGAAATGCCCTATATTTAATTTTCATATTCTTGTCATATTATAAAAGCAGTATCATAAATATGGGCATTGCTACAAACTATTATGTATAGTCACAGAAAAGCTGAAGAAAACATACGGGAGTTAGAAATGTTTATGAAATACAAGTCTACAGAAAAATGAATAAAATGTTTATTTTAAAACATTATGTGATTACAAAGATAAATTTCTCAACTATACAAACTGTTTTTACATATACATATATACACACATACATTTAAGCTTGGTTTATCTTTCATCTTTTTATCTGAGTAAAAAGAAGAACGCTTTCCTCATTCAGGAGATTTTTGATGTTATAATAGTTACCTAAAAGTAAAGTGATAAGAAAACAAAAGTTATTTCCATAGGAATCATTTCTTTTGATTAAGTATTCAGTCATCACCTGACAGCTGTAGTATAGGACACAAAACAAAAACAATTCACCTAACTTCAAGTAACTTATTCAATTTCATGAACTAAAACATCAAGAGTTAACCATGACACATAATCCAGATAAGGCTTGAGACAATATAAATTTCACATCATTATGGTAAAAAAAAATGCAGAGATGAGTCAGTCAAGGGTTTAAAAAAAGAAAATCTCTTTCTGAAACCAATCTTTATTAGTTCGTAGAACTGCCATGGATTCCTCTAAACCAGACATACTCATATATAGATGAGTATAAAAGGTACAATGTTAAGTAAAAAATCAAAATTTTAAAAACGCAAATGCTACTCTTAAATAAGGTAATAAATAACAGCAAAAGTGAAATACAGATGGACCACAAGTATCCCATGTAACAGGCTTATCAGAATTGAGTACTATCACTGTGACTTCCTATATATTAGAAATTGAGGAAGTTCACAATTGAGAAAATTCCCAAGAGTGCTCACGTTAAGGACTATATAAGCATGGCTATTACTATTGGCTCCTTCCAACAGAATGTAAGCTCCGTAACAGCAGGGATGTTTGCCTGTTTTGTTCATTTTACATCCCAAACTCTTGCAGGAATACATGGACATAGTAGAAACTTTGTTTTCTTTTTGTTTTTGAGACAGACTCTCACTCTGCCACCCAGGCTGGAGTACAGTAGTACAAACGTAGCTCACTGCAACCTTGAAATCCTGGGCTCAAGCAATCCTCCTGTCCCAGCCTCCCAAGATCTAGGACTATAGGTGTGCATCACCAGGTCTGGTTAATTTCTGCATTTTTTGTAGAGATAGGCTCTCCCTACGTTGCCCAGGCTGGTCCCGAACTCCTCACATCAAGCCCTCCTCAGTCTCTCAAAATGTTGGGATTGTAAGTGTGAGCCACTGCACCGGGCTCATAGTAGGCTCTGAATCATACTTGTTGAATGAGTGAATGAATGTCAAGTGGATTAAAACACTTACTTACCATGACTTCTGCTGTTCAGTAGTGGATGAAGCATACCATTCTTTAAACAGTTTAAAATAATGTTCTAAAAACATGATTTCTTAGAGGTAACATGGGAAAAATAATTTTCCTTATTCTCTGGAATATAACATATCTTCTGAGTAAATATTTTTACATTCAGTAGTAAACAACTCTTGTTCTCATGTATCAAAACACTAACTGGCCAGGCACCGTGGCTCACACGTGTAATCCCAGCACTCTGGGAGGCCGAGGTGGGCAGATCACTTGAAGTCAGAAGTTCAAGATCAGCCTGGCCAACATGGCAAATGCAGTCTCGAATAAAAATACAAAAAATAGCCAGGCGTGGTGGTGCATGCCTAAAGTCCTAGCTACTCAGGAGGCTGAGGGCCAAGAATCACTCGAACACTGGAGGCAAAGGCTGCAGTGAGCCAAGATCATGCCACTGCACTCCAGACTGGGTGACAGAGTAAGACTTCTGTCTCAAAAAAAGAAAAAAAAAAAAACACCACACAATAAAATGCTAATATGCTTACCTAATGATAACATGAAAGGAAAACAGGTACCAAACTGTTTTGACATCCATCAGTCATATCACACTTCATTTTGACCACTGTGGCTTCCATTTCCATGGTGCCCAAAAACAACTATATAGATGTTGTCTAAGTGAAATAAATTATCTTTAATTATAGTTACCTGAAGGAACATAGAATGAATCCCCAGTACTTATTATATAAGGTGTTTCGTGTAAAGTACACAAAAGGTCTCCAAAGTTAACATAAAAAACCTGTAAAAATAAAAATCTCATTCAAAATTGAACCATGATAATACTCCAAAGGAACTTTAAAATGTAGTGGGAAAAAGAACAGCTTCCAAGAAATGTGCCTGTTTTAATCTCTGTAACTTGTAACTACATTAAATTTCATGGCAAAAGGGGTCTTGACATGGGGAGGTTAGCTTTGATAATGTAGGTGAGCCCAATCCAAACACACAGACCCTTAAAAATGGGTACTTTCTTAAAAAAAAAAAAAAAAAAACCAACCCGGTTACAGAAGCAGGGGAGAAATGAGGCAGAATGAACAGTCACACAGATTCGAAGCATGAAAAGGACTTGCATCATTGCCAGCACTAAAGATGTGGGGCCATATACCAATAAACATGGGTTATTTCTAGAAACTAAGAATGACACCCTGGCCAACAGTCAGTGAGGAAATGGGAACTTTAGTCCCACAACCACCTGAAACTGAATTCTGCCAACAATCTGAATAAGACTGGAAGCAGACTGGAAGTAGATTCATCCTCACATCCTCCAGAAAGGAATATAAACCTGCCAACATCTTGATTCCAGTATTGTAATACACTAAACAGAATACCTAGTCAAGCTCATGGTTATCTCTACATAACAGTGAGATAAATAATAAAAAAGAGTATTGTCTTAAGTGGTTAAATTTGTGCTACAGTCATGTACTGTATAACAGTGTTTCAGTCAACACCGAAATGCATACACAATAGTGGTCCTATAAGGTTATAATGGTGTTAAAAAATTTTATTGCCTAGTGACCTCACAGCCATCATGATATCCTAATGAATATCATGTGTTTATGGTGATGCTTATGTAAACAAACCTGCACTGCCAGTCACATTAAAGTATAGCACATACAGAAAAAAGTGGAGGATAGAAAGTAGGATAACTTGCAGCTCCCACTCACATGGACAGAACGGTGTGTGGAGACTCACATCATGAACTTTTGCTCCAAGAACTACTGCAGGAACATATCAGGACTGTTGAGTGTCCAAAGTGTGAGAGGGGGAAAGTTTGCCTCCAAACAAATCCTTACTGGAGAACCTGAAAATCCAGGTCATGAGAGGAGGATCTAACCTCACCTAGAGCTAAAACAAATTTAGAGAGGAAAGGGAAATGTAATAGAAGCAGACGCCGGAAGAGTTCTGCAGGTACTCCTGGTTTCCAAGGAAGCCCAGGCAAGCCATTTCTGACTTTATCTCATGGGAGTCCTTGAGAAGGGCTGCCAGTGGCATTGGGGAAGGACCACAGAAAGAAGGAAACTTCCAGCTGAACTTTAAATAATTTTGGCCTAACATGAATTATTCTGGGCAGAATTGAAGAAAGAACAAACAGAAAGCTCAGGTACAAGCCAATGTAGGTGGCAAGAGGCAGGGCCTGAAGGTCCTGCTTGCTTTCTCAGCAGGGAGGCTTTGTAGCCTGGGGGAAAATGTCAGTCCTGTTCACAGGCTTCCTGGATACAAACTTGGTTTGGGGAGGCACAGTGGGAATGAGAATGGCCTAGCCTGGTTGCATGGGAGCTGGGTGAGGCCTGCCTGCTGGTTTCCCCCACTTCCTTGGTGACCAGTATGACACAGTGGAGACAGCCATAATCCCCCTGGGAACATAACTCCAGTGGCCTGAGAACTACACTCACATCCCCTACAGTGGTCACAGCAAGCTCAGTCCAAAGAGAGGCTGAGCTCAGACAAACGTAATCAATCCTACCTCCACCTGAGGTCTTTCTCTAAGTGCCCTGTAGCCAAAGGTGATTTCTTCCTTACAAAAATCTAATGCCAAATCCTACTGCCACCATCAATTTTTGTGGAAAACATCTGGTCTTTCACAAGCCAGTCCTTGGTGCCAAAAAGAGTGGGGACAGCTGTAATACAGGAAGAGATTTCTTTGATTTTCCTTTTTATTTACTGGCTTATGAAAATTCTAGGGCCACTGAAAAGATTATCACCTACACTAGAAAAATACCTAGGCTTTATGTATGCCTCTCTAAAGGTCACATGCTTAGGACAACAAACTACTCAATCTAATTGAAGAATCAAAACAAAAAGCTAAATTCCTATTCCCCTCAAAATCATATGTTAAACATCAAGATTAAGAAAGTAAAAGAGGATAAATCTCTCAATCATGCTGGCTTCCATATTCAAACATAGCAAATTGCATACTTTATACATAGACAGCACCCCGGCAGTGACCTGGTATTTTTTTGGCAACTAAAATAAAAAGTATAAGGCCTTCAAACTTTGAGATTCAGCCATTGTTAGAGATTAGTGTATCCCCTGAAAATTCATATTTTGAAATCTTAACCCCCAGTGTGATGGTATCAGGAGGTGGGGAATTTGGGAGGTAATTACGTCATGAGCACAGAGCCTTCAGGAATGGGATTAGTGCCTCTGTAAGAGATACAGATCAAAGTCTATGGTGTTCTTATTATAGCAACCAAATCTGACTAAGACGTACATCAGGAATGTTTTGCCTCAGATAATTATTTCTCCTCCTTTTTTATTACTGCTTTGTATAATGATCATTATATACCAGAATAATAATAACAGCTAGCACTTACATAGCACTTATACTGTACCTAGCAGTGTTATGAGCACTTTATTCTTATTCGGTTAATGTATATGCCCGCTAATGAGACAGTTACTGCTTTAGTAGCTTTTCATGGGTGAAGAAACTGAGGCACAGAAAGGTTAAGTAATTTTCTAAAGTCACAAGGTAAATGGCAGAGCTGGGGTTTGAACTCAGCCATTTTGATTACAGAATTCATTCCCTAACCACTGTGATATGCTGCCTCCCTAAATGGGGGGGGGGGGGAAAGCCCCCTGAAATGTTCCAAAGCTATTTTTATAACTTAATAATTAACAAAAAAGTTCTTATTACACCCAAAAAGAATTTGCCTCAATCAGAAAGAACATAGGTTCCACCTGGTTCTTTTTTATTTCTTACATTTAATTTATTGAAAACATTAAGCAACTTGCCACAAAAATCTTCATGCAACTGGATTTTGCTGATTACATTCCCAGGTGTCATTTGAAAGCTTTCACCATCCTTTATTTCTTGTAAACTGGTAGTTAAATCTGGAGACTTGCTCAGATTCAGGTTTTGTATTTGCTTTTGGATTTTTTTGATTATGGTTTTTTTGTTTTTTTTTTTCCTAAGGCATGGGGAAAGCTAGACTACTTCTTGGATAGTGTTGTATTTTTACATGAGAAGGCACAAAAAGACAAAAAAGTAATACTAGAAAGTCAAGTATATATTTCTAGCATTTTTTCCTTATCTATTCAATTTGGTTCTCTAAGCACACTTCTCTTCATTTCTACATTTAATTAAGAAAGCTTTTGAAACATACAAAAATAGAATGATGAACTCTCATGAATACTTAACACTAACCACCTGCCCAAGCCAATACTAACCACCTGCCCAGGCCAGAGTCTACTATCCTCATTCCATATTATTTTGAAATAAATGCCCAGTATCATAATTTATCAGCAAATATATCAATATGTACTTAAAGATCAAGTGCTTCTAAAAAACATAACCACAATACTATTATCACACCTAAAAATGAATGTATATTTAATACCAAATATCTAGGTAATGGTCAAATTTCCAATCATCTGTTAAACATATCTTCAAGGGTTTCCTTGAATCAGGATCCAAATTAGCACCACATACAGTGATTGTTGAGCTGTTTATTAAATTTCTCAATCAATATTAATTAGTGGTTCTCAATCAAGGTGATTTTGCCTCTTAGGACAACTGACAATTTATGAAAGACGTATTTAATTTTGTCACAACTAGAGTGCTGCTACTGGAATCTAATGAGCATAGGTCAGGTAAGCTTCTAAATATCCCACAACAAACAGGACAGTCTCCACTACAACAAAAAAAAATTATCTAATGAAAAATGTTACTAGTGCCGTGGCTGAGAAACCCTGATTCCCTAGGTTCCACCTGGTTATTTTTTATTTCCTACATTTAATTTATTGAAAACATTAAGCAGCTTGCCATGAAAATCTTCATGCAGTTGGATTTTGCTAATCACATCCTCAGGTGTCATTTGAAAGGTTTCACCATCCTTTATTTCTTGTAAACTGGTAGTTAAATCTACTGACTTGATCAGATTCAGGTTTTTTATTTGCTTTTCGGTTTTTTTGATTGTTTATGTTTTTTTGTTCTTTTCTTAAGACATAAGGGAGGAAAGACTACTTATTGGATAGTGTTGTATTTTTCTATCAGGAGGCACATAATGCCTGGTTGCGTTCTTTTTAGACATCTAACAGCCACTCAGCCGAGCCTTGATGCCTAGATCCAATAACTTATCAGGGATTGCAAAATGGTAATATTTCAACTCAAACATTCCTTCTTCACTCATTAGCTGGAATATTACTCTAATATGAACAAAATTCTCATCTATTATTTGATTACCTAATAACAGAGTTTATATAGAAAAGGCAGAATCAGTTGTTAAAATGAGTTAGCTTCCTAGACGCCTCCAATAGTAACAAATTAGGTTCATTTGTAGTAGTAGTGGTCATGATCGTCTTACAAATTCATGGATTTAGATATAATTGATACATATCAATCTAATGAAGTTATTGTTATTAATACTCAAACTTCATATCTTAGTCAGCCGGTGGTGGCATCTTCAAGTTGGAACCTGAAACATAACCCAATCTTAATGGTTTATGATTAGTAGTTTGCTATCAATTCCAAGCTCAGATTCAGGCCTAGAATCAGGCATTTCCACAAGAAACCGGCTCTTTTAAGTAGGTTGCTGTCATCTTTTTGTTTTTTTAGTTCTGGAACATTTATTGTCTAATTAAAAAAATATTATTAATCATTTTTCATTGGGTTTTTTCTCTCTCCTGAAATTCTTATTATTTGAATTTAGGCATGTTTATCTCTCTTCTCTATATTATTTAACTTTAATATTTTCTACTTCTTAATTTCCTTCTTGTCTCCTGGGAAGTTCTACAACCAGCTGTCATAATTAATTTGTAAATTCTTCTGCAGTTTGGTTTTAACAAATCTACTACTGTTCCATCTTCTATATTCTCTAGTATTGTGTTTGAAAGAGAGTTAATGGCCTGTGCTGGTTCTCCATCTTGTCATCTTTATTATTTTTTTCAAAAACATATATTTAAGTGTGCTTCATGTTTAAAAATGTAAAAATCTAGTCTTATTTTTAAAAAACTTTAGCTTTAATTTTCATTATAAAAAGTTAAAGATAATATATATAAGAAATAAAATCAATAACTATATCATCACATAGTAAAACGTGTATTCTCTTCAAGATTTTATTTACATTTTTTAATATGTACATTTTTCCTAGTTAGAAAAATAGAAAAATAGATACTATATACAAAGAACTTTGATGTTGCACGTTTACTTAAACGTTTATCACAAGGGTCTTCATATACGGCTATTCTTCAAAATAAAATGCTCAAACTATTTGAATGTGCTTAGTGCAGTGCCTGAAACGCTTAAGTTCGGTATAATTGTTTATTATATCATAAAATGGTTTATCTCATTACTAAGTCAAAATTAAAATGTAACATTTTCTTCCTGTAGCACATTGTAGTGATTTCTCATTTCTGCAATTAGTCAATGATTAAATAAATAACTACGTATGTTCAGCACCTCTTCCCTGAACTTTCAAATTATTTCTTTAGGAAAAATTTCTAGAAATGAGATTCACCGGTCACAGGGTATAAATGCTTGTCTAATAATTTCCACTAACTCAGTAATTATAAAGTATCATTTGGATTCAAACGTGTATTCCTTTGAACATTAGCCAGATTACATACTTTCAAACATCTACTATTCAAATTTCCTTTTGCATAATAAAAGCATGACAGTTGAATGGGTAACTGCGATTAGTTCAGTGATGACATTTCATTTTTATCCTCATTATTAATTATTCTTTTATTATACAGGGACCATCTATACTTTTAAAATGTGTTTTCACTCACAGTAACTGGAGGTCTATAACATTTTAAGTTTGAATTAATGAATATTGCTAAATTATTTTAAATCATGATTCTAGCTATACTGATGCAGTAATAATCTTTGACTTTCATATGTACCTTTCCTTGCCTTGCCTAAATTTGCCCTTCTTTGTTAATATAAACTCAAAGTTAATATTAACTTTGTTAATATAAACTTCACATTTTTTCCCTCCTTTTTGAACTTAAAGTAAGTTTGTCATTAAAGAGAATCATTCTGGGTGTGATACTTCAATAGCAGGATTTCAGACTCCTGAAATGTCAGACTAAAAAATGTTCCTTAGTTATATTTTTTAACTGCTGATAAGTATTCTCAAAATTTGATGCTTTTCAAATTCTATATTCTATAATTTTCAAACTCAAACACAAATATTATATATATACGTGTGTGTACATACACACGTATATATATGTTCCTGTTACACACACACACACACACACACACACGCACACACACACAAAAAAAAAACAGACCAATGTTGCAGAGGTATATGTCTCTAAATGGGGGTGAGGGTGGAGAAAAGGAGATAAAGAGGAAGAAAGATATAGACTGATTCACCTTGAATCTCATTGTAACTTCAGCCAGTAATATTGTTACATATAATGGTACATTACTTAGTACTTACAGAAGCAACTAGCTCTTAGTCCTAAGTCTATGGCTAAATAGTTAAGTAGTTTTTTTTTTAATTATTATTATCTCACTCATTTTTATTTACTTTTTTTTCAGGTTACTGTTTTATTAATATATAATAGTTTTAGATATTTTTGTGGTACATGTCTCATTTTAATACCTGTATGCAATGTATAATGATCAAATAAGGCTAACTGGGATATAAGTCATTAATGAAGAAGTCTTTTAACCTATTTCTCTATACATTATCATAGAAATCTGGAATTAGACTTAACCTCTATAATTCCCCAGCACTAAAATCCTAATGATTTGTTTGCAAATCTATATTCTAAGATGTTTTTAACTAAAAAACATTCCTTAAATTTCTAAATCTCAAAAGAATACAGTGCTATGCAGAGAACAGATACTTTCAAATAACTATTGGCTGGTAGACTCTAAACAGATTGAACAAATCAAAACCTTTTTCTGCATAGTGTAGTAATAGAATTTAATTTCTGAGGAAACAGCATTTTAATGTCTCATCAAATCCAATAAATCAGAGTTCTACCTATGGCAAAACATAAATATATAAAAAAATATATATACTTACCAATATATCCTGGCCAACATGCTGCTTTCCCTTTTCTTCTTGTGGTCCTAATATCAATTTCCCAGTAGAAAAAAAAGGTGTATCCAATGTCTTATATACCTTCAACTCACCATGCTTAACAAAAAATTGATATGTATCTTGTGGCCTTATAAGATCTAGGAGTAAAACAGTAATACAAATACAAAACAAAAGCAATTATTATTGGTCAACGATATAACATATACACATACATATAATAAAGAGTTATTTCTGGATATAAATCTGCCTTAGAGGGACAGAACTGATTCAGATCAAAGATGGAGATAGAATGCCAGAGGTCAAATTGTTGTCTGTCTTAAAAGCTGTATGAGCTTAGTCAAGTTACTTAAGCTCTCTCTCACTGTGCCTCAATTTCCTTTTCAGTAAAATGAAATTAATAATAGGTTCTTCTATTTGATGTTAATGAGCTGCTGTGAATCTCAATGAGTTAATGTGTGTAAACTATTTAAAATATTGTCTGGCACAAAGTTAGCACTGTTAGCTCCAGCTGAATAATAATAATGACAGTATTACGGTAACTAAGACAGAAAACAAAATTAGCTGAGATACTAAAAAGAATTCCCTATTTTTGAAGTTTAAAATAAACCATGAATGCATCATCACCATGCCAACAGGCTTTTTTGTACTGCTTGACTGATGCTAATTTTTATTAGGTAAAATTTGTGAGAAACCAAGTTCTAATGGTTGTTCAGAAATTACTATCTCACTTACAAAAATTTCCATTACTTAACAAACATTTCCAGATCTATAATTAATAAATTATTCTGTCATCAACCTCTGATTCTATTTCCCAGGATATTTGGGAATGTTAGTGATCCTACAGACTACATGATATAGAAACAAATATATAGTAGATTCAAAAAACAAAAAATGAACTCCTGACAATAGTCACAATAACCTGGCAGAGTACAACAATGCTTTCAGTTGAGACACTAAACAAAACTCCATACTTCTTTGTTCTGTTGCCAAATAATCTGAATATAAAAGATAACTTTGCAAAGATGTTAAGGTACTAAAAGAAGTCTATTTTCATAGTCCACATTTTAATTAGGAGTACAATTACCACCTTTCTTTTCTTAAAAAATTAATTATTTATTTTATTATTACCTTTTTTGAGACAGAGTCTTGCTCTACATGTCCAGGCTAGAGTACAGTGGCGCGATCTCGGCTCACTGCAATCTCTGCCTCCCAGGTTGAAGCAACTCTCCTGTCTCAGTCTCCCGAGTGGCAGGCACTACAATCACACACCAACATGCCTGGCTACCATTACAACCTTTCTGATTTGACCTTCTCCTCTGATTTTGGAAAAATAGCCCTTAGTACTCAATGGTGCAGTCCTAACAGTTATTGAAATATTTAAATATTTCTTGTGTGTGTGTGTGTATATATGTGTATATACACATATACATATATATTTACCAACCAGGCTATATATATATATATATAGCCTGGTTGGTAAATAGCTGAGTAATCCATAAACTCTCACCTCACTATAGCCCATCCCTTGGGGATCTTCCATGACCTGCTACAGGCTAAAATATTTAATGCCTATCCAATACAGCAGGAGGCTTCCAGGACTTTGCACCGGCTTTAAGCTTAGAGCTGGCATTTGCATTTGTACAACTGACTGATGCCCTTGCTAGTCATCCTCACAAAGGATTCATATCCCAGGTAACATTACTGCCATTCATAGGCCCAAAAGTTTGTCTGTGCCCTCCCCACAATCCCTGCCTGGGTTTGTGGTAAGAGGATCCTTGAGTCTGCCAACTATCTATAATTCCCTATAAACAGCCTCTGTCCCCATGTGTCCTCCTGGTCAAAGAAGGCCTAGACCCTGTTGAGGGAGACAACATTCCTGATTATAGCACTTGTGCCCTAGAGGACAAGTCCAGGGTGTTAAGTGTACCCTGGAGGCTGTCTGACATCAATATTCCCCCACAGTTGTCTTCACATAGACTGCTTATTAGAATTAGATTCTCTTCTGGACTTTAGCACTGAAAGAACTGGGGAGAGAAAGGGAAAGTAGACAGGCCAATCATCAAGCAAGCAATGTTTTCTTACAAGTTGTTTAAGTATTTTCAATAACAGCCCTGATCTTACCCAGGAGAATAATCTCTCTTGTTTCTGGGTCCTTTACCCTCGTTGGCTGCAAAGGATCTCCAAGAGGTATATCTAGATTTACCATTAAGCTAGTCTCTGCAAAAGAAATACCATTGAAATACAAACTACTTAAAATTATTCTCAATTATAAAAATCATTCAGTATAAAATATAGGTATACAGAAGTTATAAAAGAAAATTGTCAAAAGCACAAGTCTCTTCCTATTTATAAGCACTCTGATATACAAAAATTCAAATTTAAGACCCATAATAATTTAACATAAAAGCAAACACCCTAAACTTCCTATTTTTTGTAAGCCTACAATGTGTAAACTCAAACTCTTGCATCATCAAGGAATTGATGTTTTGCATAATCTTTAAGAGGTATATAATACACTTTAGAAATGTCTATTTTAACCATCATTTGGGCATAGGAAAGGTAGGTTTCATTTGACTAGGCAATTTACTCATGAAGAAATTTATACAATTATATTAATACTTTTTTAAGAATAAAATTAGCTTACTTTCCATTTGGAAGGAAGTAGACATTAAAAAATCAATTTTACCTATAGTATTATTTCTGAAGTTTTTGGAAGTAAATTTCATATTTTGCAAAGAGCTTCTTCTCAAAGTAATCCTATTTAAAATAAAATCTAAAAGTTACTTTCATAAATAAGTTCATACTTCTTTCATCGTTATCAAGACAGATCCTTTTCTTATTAGCTCTTTTGCCGACTTTTCCAATGTTTTCTTTTGCCTTCCTTTTAGATGGTACTGTGTCTGGAGAGAGTATTCCACTAACCACAAATCCTCCTGAAATTTAACAAAAAAAGGAAAATATACACGGGAAAGAGAAAAGCTTGAAACAAAACTCCTTAAATTTAATATGGCACCTCTCCTTTCAAAGTATCAAAGAATATATATGTCTGCAGCTAATAGTTGAAATAACACAAAACTAACCCATTTCATTCTGTCTCTACCACCCTAAATCAGAAGCTGATAAAACAGGATTAGATGACGAAACATAATTAGATGGTCTCTGTTGCTCAACTGAAATCAATAGTCATCAGTGTGAGCTTTTAAAAAAAAAAAGGAGGGGGGAGGCTAGCAATGAACTATTTATAGAAATCCACATGCCTTTAGTCCTTTGACTTAGATATATCTATCAAAGAAAGAAATATAGCCAGGCACGGTGGCTGACATCTGTAATCTCAGCACTTTGAGAGGCCAAAGCAGGAAGATTGCTTGAACCCATGAGATAGAGACCAGCCTAGACAACATAGCAAGGCCTCATCTCTACAAAAATAAGAAAATAACTCTAAGATTAACATTATACTTTCCTGTCCACCCTATATTACTTTGTAGAAATCTATGAGGAAATGGAAAATGGTTAACAGGAATAATAATGGAAACTATATTACCTTTACCAGTTATAATTTTCTCATGTTCTAATACTTTATATTATGCAATTAGAAATCTTGTCTGATAATACAGGAATAACAACACTCAGCTACCAAAGAGAAAATACCAGCATATCTACATTAATCAGACAAAAATGAATTTAAATCCTATTATCAAAATCTCGGGCGTGATGATTAAGTAAGGTAATGTATATAAACATGTAGTGCAGTGTCTGGCACATAGTAAACAGATTTTTTATTGGTAGACATTATAGCATAAACTAAGTTTTACCTGATGGCCTTCCTTGATAATCTATTCGCTCCCCTCGCCAGTACTCCAAAGGTTTCAAACGTATTCTCTTGGTCCTGCGAACATTTGGTGTGTTGGAGGGCAATACTATAAAAAGGTATCAGACAAAAGTATATACATATGTTTTTTAGTTAATGGCACTTGGCAGTGGAAAGACTATCTTTTAGAAAATGAATGCTTTATTTTTTAGAACATAAATATTTTTCTAGACAAAAGACTAGAAAAACAAAACATATATTTATGCTAATAATTAAAGAAATGCCAAAGGAAAAACAGCCTACCAAATTGGCAAATATTTAAAAATTTAATAATGCCCATTGTTTACAATGTCAAATGTACACTCATCTGAACAATGCAAAGTTCTGTATATTAAATTGAGTTTGTTGGCTGTATCTTCAAATTCCCATGTTCTTGCCTATTTTTTGTTTGCTAGAGCTATCCTGAAGCTAACAGGAAGTTGCCTACTGCTCTTAGGCATAATGCTTAATGTTCCTCTCTGTAAACACTGAAGCTCCTGATCAGGAACATTTTTATTTCCTTTTCTCTACTCCTGATTCATCATTTCACTCCAAGACAAGCATTAAGTATCAAGAGGTATAGCAGTTTCTCATCATACAGGCTCACGAAATACTGACATGAGCTAAGTTCTTGAGTGAGGCAATGAGAGAAAGCTTCACTCCTACTGGTAATCTCTAAGTATAAGTGCAAGAGCACTCACAGCCTCAAATAAAGAGAGAAACATTAAAAGCCACCCAACATCACAGAAAGGTGGGAACATGTATCTTGACTGGCAAATATCTCTTTGGGAACCACAGATTGTTAATCTTTACATGGGCAACTCCACGGGTTCCCCAGTTCACAGCTTTGTCTACTTACTACCCTAGCTACTGCTTTGTTTAGGAGTCAACTGGATTAAAGTGGAAGCAGATGCCGTCAACGAAGCCATCTACCGGGTAGTTACAGTTTCTTTGATAAAATACTCCACACTAGCTTCATCGATAAGGGAGGATCATGCCCCCTTACTATGGGGGAAAAAGTGAGAAGGCAATAGAATTCATAAATGGACAATAGACTAACTCAGTAGCTTGTGGTGACTTAATATGAAATTCATAAAAACTAAGTATGTAATTTTAAGTTATTTACCTACCAATTAATCCAAGTAATAGTATTTCTCCTCCTTAAGAAAAATTAAGTATATTTAGAAACAAACTTAATGAAAGTATTTTTCTCAATAAAAATATTAAAAGAAAATATTCTTACCTAATTTGTGATGGATTCTGTTCTTTGGTATCACTTTAGATCGTTTTACTCTTGAGTCACCTACAAAATGCAAAAGATAATATCGTGAGCAATGACTGCTAATTCCAAGTTAAGTTAAAGTTTCCTGGTCAATTTCAGTATGAGTATTTTAAATAAAATTTGATCTGGTAATATATTTCATTACTCCTTTTGCTTTTCACTGCTCAGTTATAAAAATTAAGGAAAAGAAGTATTTCTGTAGACTTTGCTACAATGAATATATTACAAGCTTGTCCAATTCGCTTTATTTTGTTATGTTCTGTTTTGCTTTGTTTTAGGCCTTTAGCAGCCTGAAACCATGGTTTTTAGTTTGTATCTCTAGTGACAAGTGGAAAAGAGGGATGAAGAATGGGTTTTACTGACCCAACCAGAAACAGAAACTAAGAACCCATGACTGTATTCTCTCCCTTGGACACCCTGGTTTGTATTCTAAAGAGTGTAACTGTTAAAAAACAAACAAACAACAACAACAACAAAAGATGTAGCTACTGATAATGGTTAATTAATATGTTATTAATGAACTATCTGTAACTTTCTCATAAAGTTCTGAAATAGTTTAAGTGTATCGAATTTAGCAGTGTGCCAATGAGCTTAGGGGTTCTCAACTTTGGTAAATAGCACCTAAAGATGACTGTCTTCACTTATTTCCCTTTCTATGCACAAATGTTCTATATCAAGAAGCAGAGTCTCACTCCCTTCTCCTTCAATCTCTGCTCAAGTTAGTGACTTGCTTAACTAATGGAATACAACAGAAGTGATGTCTGGGACTTAGAAGGCTAAGTCCTAAAACAATCTACAGGTTCCATCTAGAAGTCTTGGGATCTCACTCTGGGGGAAGACAGCAACAATATGAAGATTAGCACAAGACTGCCATGCTGTGAAACCCAATGTGGTCACATAGAAAAGCCACATGGGGAAAAAGAGTTGCTTGGGCAACTCTCAGTGTCCCAGCTCTCCTAGCTGGGTCCAAATATATAAGTGAAGAAGTTACCTTGAATGTCCAACACAGTTGAACTTTCAGATGACTACAGCACCAGCAACTTGTACTTTTAAATTCATGAGCATACTCAAGTGACAATTACCCAACTAAGCCAAGTCAATTCACTGAACCATAAAAGATAAATCAATCATTGTATTAAGCCTCTAAGTTTTAGAGTGGTTAATTATGCAGCAATATACAACTGGACACAATGTCCATGAAACACCTAAAGTTGTAAATATAATTTTGCATTTTTCCTCTAAAAAGTAGGTCTGAGTTTTTATCATATTCTCAAATGAATCCATGAAAGAAAAACAACAAAAAATTATTAAGAATGATTGAATTAGATATTTTATAAAATTATTGGTTTGGAAGAAACTTCAGGGATCATAACATCTAATTTCCCTGTCAGAAATAGGCAAATCTGTAGACATCGAAAGTAGATTAGGAGTTGCACAGGCCCAGGGAAAGGAAATGGAAAGTGGCTACTAAAGGGTAAAGGGGTTTCTTTTTGGGGGTGATGAAAAGTTCTAACATCGACTACGGCAATTACTACATACCATTGATTTGTATACCACAAGTGGACTAATTATATGGTATATGAAGTCTAACTCAATAAATCTAGTGTATCCCCCCACTCCACCCCAACCCCCACTGCCAAAAACCCAATTTCCCATGCAATCTCCACTAGAATAAGTAGAGGTCTGACCTCTGTTGGAAATTCTCCTGTGACACTGAGGAGAAGTCTATATTGAAATGGAAGTAGGGGTAGTAATGTGAACTTATAATAAATAGAGGCATATCCCAGAGACATTGCCAATTCAGTTCTAGACTACTATAATAACACAGATATTGAATAAAGCAAGTCACACTATTTTATTTATTTATTTATTTTGGTTCTTTTGTTGTTTTGTTTTGGTTTTTTGAGACAAAGTCTCACTCTGTCACCCAGCCTGCAGTGCAGTGGTGCGATCATGATTCACTGCAGCCTCCACTCCTGGGAGCAAATGATCCTTCTGTTTTTCCCCGAGTAACCGGTACCACAGATGCACACCACCATGCCCAGCTAATTTTTGTATTTTTAGTAGAAACAGGTTTTCAGCATCTTGGCCAGGCTGGTCTCAAACTCCTGGACTCAAGTGATCTGCTTGCCTCACCTCCCAAAGTGTTGGGATTACAGTGTGAGCCACCATGCCGGGCCAAAAGTTATGTCTTTACTATATTACAGTATATTAAGTGTATAAGAGCATTAGGTCCAAAAACTCAGTGTACATATACCTTAATTTAAAAATATTTTATTATTAAAAATGCTAAAGATCAGCCAGGCATAGTAGCTCACTCCTGTAATCCCAGGACTTTGGAAGGCCCAAAAGGGCAGATCACTTGAGGCCAGAAGTTCAAGACCAGCCTGGCCAACGTGGTGAAACCCTGTCTCTACTAAAAATAAAAAAATTGGCTGGGTGTGGTGACACAAACATTGTGATCCCAGCTACTCTTGGTGGCTGAGGCATGAGAATCACTTGAATCCAGGAGGCAAGAGGTTTCAATGAGCCAAGACTGCACCACTGCACTCCAGCCTGGGTAACAGAGTAGGCTTATGTCCCAAAAAATAGAAATAATAAAAAATAAAAATAAAAATATCATCTGAGCTTTCAGTGAGTTTTAATCTTCTTGCTGGTAGGCTATTCTGCCTCATTGTTGATGACTGCTGACTGATGAGGCTGGTGTGTCTGTAGTAGTTTCTTAAAGCAAATCAACAATGAAGTTTCTCTGGGGCATATAAAATGCTGTTTTATAGCATTTTACCCACAGTAGAACTTCTTTCAAAACCACAGTCAAACCTTTCTAGCCTGCCACTGCTTTATCAACTAAGTTCATAGAATATCCTAAATCCTTTTTGGTCATTTCAAGGGTTCACAACACATTCACCAGGAGTAGATCCCACCTCAAGAAATCAGTTTCTTTGTTCATCCATAAGAGGCAACTCCTCATCTGTTCAAATTTTGTCATGAAATTGCAGCAATTCAGTCTCTTCTCCAGGCTCCACTTCTAATTCTAGCTCCTTTGCTATTTCCACCACATCTAGTTATTTCCTTCATTGAAGTCTTGAAGCCCTCAAAATCACCCAGAAGGGTTGGAATCAACTTCTTCCAAACTCCTGGTAATATTGATATTTTGACCTCCTCCCATAAAACAAATATTTTTAATGGTGTCTAGAATAGTGAATCCTTTCCAGAAGATTTTTTATTTACTTTTTCCAGACTCATCAGAGGAATCACTACTCATAGCAGCTACTGCCTTATAAAATGTATTTCTTAAATAATAAGACTTGAAAGTCCAAATTATTCCTTCATCCATGCATGAGCTGCAGAATGGATGCTGTGTTAGTAGGCATGACAACAACATTAATCTCCTTGTCCTCGTGCATTAGAGCTGCTGGGTGGCCTGGTGCATTGTCATGGTTGTGCTGTCACCCAGGCTTTGTTGTTCTACTAACAGAGCAAAGTAGATTTAGCATAATTCTTAACAGCTCTAGGATTTCTGGAATGGTAAATAAGCACTAGCTTCAACTTAAAGTCACCAGCTGTATTAGCCCTTAACAAGAGAGTCAGCCTGTCCTTGGAAGCTTTGAAGTCAAGCATTGACTTCTCCACTTTAGCTATGAAGGTCCTAGATGACATCTTCTTTCAATAGAAGGCTGTTTGTTTACAGTGAACATCTGTTGTTTAGTGAAGCCACCTTCAATTATCTTAGCTAGATTTTTTGGATAACTTGCTGCAACTTCTACATCAGACCTTGCTGCTTCATCTTGCATTTTTATGTTATGAAAACAGCTTCTTTCCTTAAACCTCATGAACCAGACTCTGCTAGTTGCAAACTTTTCTTCTGCTGCTTCCTCACCTCTCTCAGCCTCCACAGAATTAAAAAGAGTTAGGGTCTTGCTCTGGATTAGACTTTGGCTTTAAAGGAATGCCGTGGCTTGTATAATCTTCAGTCCAGACCACTGAAACTTTCTCTATATCAGCATTAAGGCAGTTTCCCTTTCTTATCATTCATGTGTTCACTAGAGTAGCACTTTTATTTTCCCTCAAGAACTTTTCCTTTGCATTCATAAATTGGCTGTTTGGTGCCAGAGGCCAAGCTTATGGACTATCTCGGTTTCTGACATGCTTCTTCACTAAGCTTAATCATTTCTAGCTTTTGATTTAAAGTGAAAAATGTGTGATTCTTCCTTTTACTTGAACACTTAGAAGCCATTGTAGTGTTATTACTGACCTCTCAGGGAATAGGGAAGCCCAAGGAGAAGGAGAAAGATGGGGAACTGGTCAGTTGGCAGAGCAGTTAGAATACATTTACTAAGTTCACTTTCTTATATGGGTGTGGTTTATGATACCCCAAAACAATTGCAATAGTAACGTCAAAGATCGCTGATCACAAATCACCATAAAAGACATAGTAATGAAAAGGTCTGAAACACTGTGAAAATTATCAAAATGTGACAGAAACACAAGGTGAGCACATGCTACTGAAAAACATGGTGCCAATAAGGCTTACTCAACACAGGGTTGTCACAAACCTTCAATTTGTGAAACAAGTAGTATCTGCAAAGTACAACGACACAACGCATGCTAAAACAAGGCATGATTGTATAAATATAAATATAGACATAGAAGCCTGTATTATATACAGTGTATACATACGTGTATGTGTGTATGTGTATGTATCTATATCCTATCTCTGTCCACTGAAAAAGCCTAGAAGCAATGGTATCCCAAACAAGGATCACACCAAGTGCCCAAATCTTGGTTTCTAAATGCCATCCTCCACTGAAAATAGCCAGGTTTCCTGGAGCAGTAATTGATCCCAGAGCTGGAGCAGGGAAAAAAGACTGGAATATCTTATGCCAAAAAACAAAGACAGTATTCATAGAATCATAACAAAAGCACACGGAGACCAGCTTAAAGAAAATCAAATGACCAAATATATCACAATGTATCACAATAAATGATCAAGATTACAACCGCATGACATAAAATATAAACCTAGTAGTCCACATTGATATAAATAAAATGAATAATGAATAAAATAACTGGCATGGCAGAGAAAAACTGGCAACTAATTAATGAGGAAGGAATAAAAGAACAGAAAATAGAAAATAATGTGACATCATTAGTAGCCGATAATTCAACTGGGGGTATTCAACGTACATTAAAGTTGGCGGATGGAGGTTTGACAAGAAACAGGTTATTAAAATAGTATCAGAATATCACTCCACAATATTTATCAATTATAAGAGAAAGGCAGTGTCTTTACAGTAGAGAAACCTGGCAGACAAAAATGTGAACAGGTGATCAGGATTAAGATCATGTCGACCAGGCATGGCAGTTCACACCTGTAATCCCAGCACTTTGGGAGGCTGAGGTGGGCAGATCGCTTAAGGTCAGGAGTTTGAGACCAGCCTAGCCAACAAGGTGAAAGCCTATCTCTACTAACAATACAAAACTCAGCCAGATGTGTTGGCGCATGCCTGTTATCCCAGCTACTCAGGACGCTAAGGCACAAGAATTGCTTGAACCCTGGAGGCGGAGGTTACAGTGAGCTGAGATCACACCACTGCACTCCAGCCTATGTGATAGAGCAAGATTGTCTCAAAAAAAAACACAAAAACCCAAAACCAAAAAAAAAAAAAAAAGGATCATGTAGAAGGTCAACACTGTGTGCCTCCTGTGTGATGTGATGGACAAATTACAACCCCTAACTCCTAACCCTGTAGTATCATTTCTGTAGTATTACTGTCATTATCAATAGCACCCACTGATCATGAGGAAACAGAAAGACCTAGGCTGAGGGTCATTCTAAAGATATGAAGGCTGTATTTTTTTTTTTTTTTTCTGAGACAGTGTCGCTCTGTTGCCCAGGCTGGAGTGCAGTGACACAACCTCCACTCACTGCAACCTTTGCCTCCCAGGTTCAAGCTATTCTCTGCCTCAGCCTCCTGAGTAGCTGGGATTATAGGTGTCTATCACCATGCCCAGCTAATTTTTGTATTTTTAGTAGAGACAGGATTTCACCATCTTGGCCAGACTAGTCTCAAACTCCTGACCCTGTGATCTACCCGCCTTGACCTCCCAAAGTGCTGGAATTACAAGCGTGAGCCACCATGCCCGGCCTAGAAGGCTTATTCTTTAAAAATGTTGGTGTCAGGAAAGTTAGGGAAAAAAAACCTAAGGAACTGTTCCATGTTGAAGGAAACTAAGGGACGTGACAGCTAAATGCAGGACTGATGACTGGATCTTGAACCAGAAGGAAAAAGAAACACTGAGATCCAGGATTGGATCCTGAGCTAGAAGAGAAAAGGAACTGCTGGTGAAATCTGAATGGAATCTGTGAATGAATCTGTTGTACTAATGCTGATTTTCTTATTTGGGTAGTTAGAGGGTATTTATATCCTTGTCTCACTGAAATGCATTATGGGGTATTTAAGAGAAATAATATATTATGTCTATAATTCCCTCCCAAATAGTTTAGAAAAAGATGAATGATAATAAACGTGTATAAATATTTATTAGAAGAGGCAGGGAGGAAGATGGAAATATGCTGAAAAATGTGGACAACTGTGAAATCTCAATGAAGGGGATATGGGATCTCTGTTTAAGACTCAAATTATTTCCAAATAAATTATTTTTTAAGTGACTAACACAAAGGACAACTCCTAAATTTCAAAGATTAAAGGATCCTAGTAAGCCTGGAGATGGAAGAAAACTAGTTATCTACAAAGGAAACAAGAAATAAGTCTGCCTTCAAATTTCTATTCATAAGCATTAACTCTCATGAAGCAAAACAGCAACAGACAGATTGTTTAAAGAAAAAAAGATCATGACTCAAGATTATGTTCTCTATTTAGCTGGTGGTTCATTGTGTTTAAAAAAGAAAAATCCTGAGTCCTTGCTGGAATATGTGAGAATGTCTACCACCTTAACTAAGAAGTAACAAATATATCTGTTGACAATTAGTGTAAATATATTAAACATTTTATTAAAGGAAAATATATTGACACAGCAAGTCAAAAACAATTCAATCATGTGCTGTTTCTGAGCCACTTTTAATTTTCTAATAAAAGTTAAATAAAAGGATAAGAAACAACACCCAACCAAAAGAAAGTGGAGGTCACAATATTAATATTAGACAAAACAAACTACAAAGTATAAAGCATTTAACACAATGAAGGAGATTTGACCAAAACAGGTACCTTCCATATGAATGAAGGCTTATGTGATTAGTAACAGCACTGAAAGGTACATAACAAAGACTACAGGAAATACAAAGAGAAAGACAGCTGGAGTGGCACACCTCAACTCTAGCAGTCATTAACAGATCTCAAATCAAAAGTAAGAATACAAAGGTTCAGAATACTTTCAAGCTTATTATGTCCAAATCTAACATCCTGTTATTTTCCCCCAAATTTGCTTATTCCCCAATAGTCCCCAGATCAGGAAACAATATTACTGTTCTTCCAGGTACTCAGGCCAAAAACCTTCAAGTTATCTCTAATGCTCTTTCTCTTATACATCACATCTCCTCCATCAGAAAATCCTGTTGTCTTTACCTTCAAAAACACTTAAAAATTCTCCCACTGCTCTCCATCTTCTACTGGTACCACACTGGTCTAAGCCAACACCTCTCATTACGATTATTTCAACATCTCTCCAGCCAGTCTCCTAGCTTCAAAACTTCCTCTGTCCCCTCAACCCCATCGGTCAACTCCTAACATAGCAGCTGCAGTTATTCTGTTAATACAGGTCTTCTGTTCAAAACCCTCTAATGGCTTCCCATCTCTCTTAATAAAAGGCTTTAACATCCTGTGTGATCTTTCATTCCGCTGCCTCTGTGACATCATTTTTCCTGCTACTTGCTCTCTCTTCCTCTGCTCTAACCCCCTGGCCTTCCTGGTGTTCCTCAATCAAGATGAACTCTACCACACCAGAACCTTTGCCCTTCATCTTCCCTCTACCTGGGACACTACTTACCCAGACAGCTGCATGGTTTACTGTCTCATCTCTTCACAACTTTGCTCAAATGATCACTTCCTTAGTGAGGACTTCTCTGCCCACCTACCTAAAAGTGTGAACTTCATTTGCCACCCTAAAACTCCTACTTTGTTTCTACTCTCAACAACCAACAAATCATAAATTTTGTTATCCTTTTAAATTGTCTGCCATCCTGCCCCTTCCAGAAATTACGCTCCAGGAGGGAGAAATTTTTGTCAGTTTCATTCACTGACACATACCTAAGCCCTAGAATACACAGTGAATATTCCATAATTTTTCATAAATATTTAAGAATTCCTTAAGTATTCAAAATATATTCAAAAAAATATATTGACTTGTGTTATCAACAAAATAATAACTGGAGATATATCTTTAAGTCCCCATCTGTACATAAATTATTCTTTTCAAGCACTGATGGAAAAATTATAAAAACTAAGTATAAACTAGATATTAGAACACAAAGAAAACCTTAATGAATTCAACCAATAAATAACATAGGCCAAGTTTTCCAGAACAAAACAAAACCAGAAAATAATAAAAGAATAAAACACAACTTCTTAGATAACAGCCAAAATTATACACACCAGATATTAAACTAAGCAAAGAACATGTATTCATCTTTATATCAATTTATGGGATTACAGCTGATATCATTTTACAGATAAGGAAACTGAAGTTTAAGAACACTAAAATTTCTTACTCAAGATAGCATAGTGATGCTTTCTGATCAGTGGTGAATGGGGGAAAAAAAAAGATAACATAGCCAGTAAGCAGTAAAGCTAGAACAAATCCCAGGTCCATGACTCTGGAGACCAAGCTCTTGACAACCTACTCTTAAATAACTACCGAGTCAAAGAAAAATCACTATAATTCAGAGTATACTACAATAACACTACATAGCAAAGCCTATAAAATTAAGCCAAAACTATAATGAGGGAAATTCAATGCTGCTTCTTTACCAAAGAAAAAGCAGAAAAACACAGAAAGCATTCAAGTTAAAAAAGAAAAATAACACCATAAATCTAATGATGGGGGAAAAAATCAAAAAGTTAAACAAATAGTGATTATTAAGAAAAAAAAAAAAAACAGTATAACAAATTACAATCAAACATGCATTTTTAGGAGCATAAAAAATTATAAAATTATCTATTAAGAAACATTTTTAAACTTCAGTATAAAAATTTTCAAGTATTGAAGGTCAGGCACAGTGGCTCACGCCTGCTGCAATCCCAGCACTTTGGGGGGCCAAAGAGGGTGGATCACAAGGTCAGGAGTGCAAGACCAGCCACATGGTGAAACCCCTCTCTAAGAAAAATACAAAAAATTAGCCAGGCGTGGTGGTGGGTGTCTCTAATCCCAGCTACTCAGGAAACTGAGGCAGAGATCTGCTTGAACCCAGGAGACGGGGTTTGCAATGAGCCGAGATCATGCCACTGCACTCCAGCCTAGGCAACGGAGTGAGATTCCATCTCAAGAAAAAAAATTTCAAGTTTGAAAAAAGAGAAAACAGTACAATGGACCCAACACACCCATCACCCAGCTTCAGTAATCATCAACAGATTACTAATCTTGCTTCATGTATACCAACAGCTTAACAATTTTAAATACTGGAGTAGATACCTTAAATGCCAGTATTTCATTATGGCATTTAAAAAACTGTCACTCATTTCTTTCTCTCTCACTTAGGCAGAGGGTCTTACTAATTTCTAACTAAGAGTCTTAAGAGGTAGGTACTCAATACACATTTGCCATCAGTGATAATGTAAATAAAACATAGCACTCCTTACTCCATATTCATAATGCCACAAAATTCAAGACAGAAAAAAAAAAAAATAGTTTACCTAAACTTCCATGAACTTTCTCATCATCTACACCATTATTCTTCTTTGCAGACATTAAATAATTCTTGAGCGTGGAAGGTCCACTTTAAAAAAAAAAAGTAAACCACAAAATTAATGCTTTTCTAATGCATATATCTAATGTATTTGCCTTAATGATCATTTTTCTCCTAAAATTGCCATAAGTCTTTCTTATAAAATCAATAATGATGTTACAAGTCATCAAGAATATATAGGCATCCCTCAGTATTTGTGGGGGATTGGTTCCAGGATCCACTGTGGATACCAAAATCCAAGGATACTCAAGTGCCTTATATACCATGGTGCAGAATTTGCATATGACTTTCACATATCCTCCTATATAATTTAAATCATCTCTAAGTTATTTATAATACCTAATACAATGTAAATGTATGTAAATAGTTGTTATACTGTATTTTTATTTGTATTATTTTTAATGTTATATTGTTACTTTTTACTATTTTATATTTTCTGAACATTTTCACTCAGTGAGTGCTCAATCAGTGGATGCAGAACCCACAGATATGGAGGGCTAATGGTACTTGCTGCATTAAACAAAGGCTACAACCATAACTGATGGCAAGCATCGTTAAGGACTGAATTTATAACTTATAGATCAGAATTATGATCTTAATTCAAATGATAACATCCTGTGGTGAAAATTATATATATTTTTTTAAAAAAGAAATCATCGTATCTTAATTAAAAAAAAAAAATTACAGCCAAAATCCAATGGAATTTAAAATGTGGCCCAGAAATTGTCAGAGATGATTCAGGTTCTCCCAGTCCTAGAAATCTTTTTACCTATTATGAACCCAGGATAAGCCTAGTCATAACCTCACAAATAGTAAAGAAATCTCGGCCATCCCTTAAAAGTCTGAGACTTTGCTATAATTTACCTTTTGTTCATTTTTTAAAAGGTTGGTTATATGACATCAGATATAATTAAGAGTAGGTTAATTCAATTTGCTCACTAAAGGTGGTCATTTTAATATTATATGTCTAAATTCTTTGATATACCACCTTTTAAGAGGTGGAGCCTAATTCCACCTCTCCGTGAATGTAGTGTGGACTTAATAAGTTGTTTCTAATGAACAGAATAAAGTAGAAGTGGCAGTGTACAATGTCAAAGACAGTCATTAAAAGACACTGTGATATCCATCACAGTCACACTTTCTCTTGGAACATTTGCTTTGTGGGAAGCCAGTTACTATATTCAGCAGCTGAGAGGGCCACATGGCAAGAAACCAAGGTCTACTGGAAACAGCCAGCAAGAAATTGGGATGTCCAGTTAAAAGCCATGTGAGTGAGGCATTTTACAGGTGGATCCTCCAATTCCAGACAAGACTTTAAAAAACTAAAACCAGAAAGACATCTTGACTACTACCTCCTGAGATTATCTGAGCCAGAAGTAGCTAGCTGATTCTTTCAGATTGTTGACCCATAGAAACTATGAAACAGTAAGTGTTTTTAAGCCTACAACAAAATTAAAACAAAGTTCTTGGGTAATCTGTTATACAGCAATGGGTATAGTCAGGAAATACTATGATCCTTACAATACATGCATACCTTTCCTCTAAAATTGAAGTCTTATGCTCTTCAGAATCCAAGTTTGACTCTGTTGGTGTCTTACATGTATATCCATATGTCTGAGGCTTTAGAGGAACATTCTGTACAGTCATAATATCACCTTGATTCTTTGAGCTTCCTGTAGATCTATAAAAATGATAAATGTATGACTGTTTATACCTCTTCAAAAGAAAATTTTCTTCCAGAAACAATACATAGGTGGGTACGTAGACAATATAATATTGGCTATAATGGGTATCAGATCACCCTGTTCAGGTTCTGAGACTTGGCAACTAGCTTAGGAAGAAGATTGGTTTCTAGGACCTACCAACAGTCCTAATTTGAAAAATTCTGAAGAAAGTAATGGAGAAAACACCTGGCCATGAAGGTAGTGACAAGGACATAAGGAGACCTTATCGATTAACGGCTTATGATGTATATTACAGTTAATCTATCATGGTTTACTGGAGAATCCATAAACAACTAAAATTCTTTCTTTGATATTCGTTTGTAGTCAGCCTACTGAGGGGTAACAGGTCCTTAGAGGGACTCAGCTCATCTCTTCGGTAGTTTACTCCAAATATATGCAAACAAGATACACTATTCCTAGGGACTGTATATTTCTTTAGGTTCTAATGTCCTCCTGGGTCCTACCATTAGAGTCAAAAGCAATAAAAGTGATTACAAGAGAATACCAGAAACAATTGTATGGCAACATATTAGATGAACTACATGAAACAGACAAACTCCTAGAAACATAAAAATTATCAAAATTGATTCAAGAGGAAATAATCTCAAAATACCATGAATCAGTAATCAAAAACAAACTACCCACATAGAAAAGCTCAGGCACATGTGGCTTCACTGCTGAATTTCACCAAACATCCAAAGAAGAATTAAGAATTCTTCACGAACCATTTCAAAAAATAGAAGAGATAATATTTACCAACTCATTGTATAAAGCCAATTGTTACTCTTATACCAAAACTAAACAAAGACAACACAGGGAAAGTAAGCTACAAACCAGAACACCTCAATAAACTACTAGCAAACCAATTCCAGTGACAAAATTAAAAAAAAAAAAAAAAAAGGAAAGAAAGTAGAGAATGGCCTAAAAGTGAAACGGAATGTGTATGGAATTTCTTTATGCACTATAATGACATACACTACTATATTTTAGGACACACTATTATTTACTTCAGTATATCCTCAGCACCTTACTGCTTCTAACACAAAGTATATATTACCTCAGTAGGTTGTTGCAACTAATAAGAATTCAGTAAAAGCATCTAGCAAATATTTGGCACATAGTATGAACTCAAAAAATGTTAACTATTATCATCCTAGAAGAAAAGTATTAAGCTATATTCCTAACTGCTGAAATCACATTAATCTCACTTGAAACAATTTGAACTATACACTTAAAAAAGATTAAGATAGTAAATTTTCTGTTATGTGTTTTTTGTTTGTTTGTTTTTTGAATCTCTATTTTGGTAGGCCAACAGAAGAGAATCACTTCAGACCAGTTCAAGACAGGCCTAAGAAACAAAGCAAGACCCCATTTCTACAACAAATTTAAAAATTAGCTAGGTATAGTGGTCCACACCTGTAGTTCTAGCTACTCAGGAAGCTAAGGAAGGAGGATTATGTGACCCAGGAGTTTGAGGTTACAGTGGGCTATGATCATGCCACTGCACTCCAGCCTGGGCAACAGAGTAAGGCACTGTCTTAAAAAAAAAAAAAAAAAAAAAAAAAAAAAAAAAAATTTTTTTAAAAAAAAAAAAAAAAAAAAAAAAAAAGCAACTCTTGAATGAGAATAATATCTTATTAAATTTAACAGTCATAATCCCAGGTGCTATGTACTATTCCCTATTTTAATATGAGGAAACAAGCGCAGAGTACTAGTCTGCCTGTGTGTCACCCAGCTAATGGTAGAGGCTGGATTTAATACCAGGTATGCCAGAGTGCAGAGCTCTTTACGCTAATATTGCCTGTCTATAAATGATTAAGTAGCACAAATATTAAATGCTGAACAACAAAAGTATATATTGTACACATAACAGACATTACCTAGAACAATCAAGATTTTTCTTCTTAGCCAAGTCTGCCTCACCAGTTTCCAATGGCTCACTCTGCGAACAACTGGGAATTTCATCATGATCAACAATACCTCCAGAACATTTAGCATTTAAAACCTTCTGTACTCTTGGGCTGCCTTTAGTTGCTGTCTTCTGCCTTTTAAGTGGAGTAGTATTTTTTCTAATATTCTTAGATGACTTATTCGTTTTCTTAGCAGATTTTTGCCTACTGTCATGATGCACTGTTAATTCATTTCTTATTGAAGAATTGCTATAAACACGACCTGAAGGATTCAATAACCTAAAGTTAGTATGTTTGTCCAGATGATTAGGCTCACTAAAATACCAACATCATCATTTATATTTGCATATAAACATATACAGACACACATACCTCATAGGCTAAATTTATTTCCAAATTAAATTATTTAAACAATGCAGCTCTTCAGTTTACAGACACATGCAACAGGCCCTTTAAATTTATCACAGGCTTCTAAAAACACTCTCTAGCTTTGCCCACTGCTCTTTTGACTATCCTTATTATCTGGTATTCCCCAAGGCTACAGCTTCAGCTTTTCACTCCATATACTTTCTTTGAGGGACTCATCTACCCAGAGCTTTAATTACTATTTATACTGATACCTATAATATCCACCTACTGCTCTCCCCTAAATCTGCCTCTCTTGCTTTACTTCCTATCTTACTGAAAAATACAACTATCTATTCTATCCAGATATCTAAATCAGAAATTTGAGTCATGCAAGACTATTACTCCTATCTACAATCACTCCCCAAATCCTATCAATTCTGCTTTATTAATGCCTTTCAAATTTTTCAAGCTCTCCCTCCTGTCATTAGCAGAGGCCCTCATCATTTTATATCTGGATTATTAAAATAGTCTCTTTATTAATCTCCCCTTCTCTAGCCTTCTCATTTTTCAATCCATTCTTCACAATGCTATAAGAATCACCTTTGGAAAACAAAAACTAGACCATTACAACTCTGCTTAATTAAAGTATTTCAGTGATTATCTATAGCTTTAGGATGAAGTCCAAATACTTGCAACATCAATTTATATCTACATCTAGATTTGCTTATTTCATAAACCACAATTCCCAAAACCACACTCTAAACAAACAAACCAAAAAAAAAACCCATCAGTACTGAACTATCTATAGTTTCTCTAAAGCACTAGCTGTCAAAAGGCAGTCTCTAGACCAGCAAGATCATCATTATCTGGGAATCTGAAATGCAGATTATCACGCCTCACCTCAGACCCAGTGAATCAAAAACTTTGCAGAGCAGGACCCAGTAATCAGTGTCTTAATAAGCTCCCCAGACAATTCTAAAGCACACTAAATTAAAAAAAGGAAAAGACCAAGCTCTCTGCTCCAGATCTCTGCATATGCTACTTCTACTTAAAACATTCCATCCTTCCTCCCTACTCCACTCGATCACTTAGCTAACTCCTAATTCATCCTTCAGGAAGCTTTCCCTAATTTCCAAGTCTTAAGGTAGCTTGCTATCACAAATGTGACTATTTACTTATTTCTACCCCTCTCCTCCAGCAGACTGACAATTCCTTGACCCCAAGTAATTGATCGGTAGTTTATGTATTTTCCCAATGCCTAACAATAGGGGCAGGACTATGGTGAAGCAAGAGTAGTCTCAGCTGGAAAATTCAAGAAGGTATTCATTTTTAGGTCTGTACAAATACAGAGCCTGAACTCACACAATCCTGAAATTGAATGCCTTACATTTTTCATCCTAGTGTCTCAACTGTCTTACTCTAGTCCTGGTCCTCCTTTACCTCATTCCTGCCCCAAGGCAAGTACTCCATACACATTTCTTCATATATATGGAAGGTCAACTATGTCACATGTACTACAAGCAGGTTGGAGACAGGTCAAGTTGTTCTTAACTTCAGACTTCAGTTTCTTCTTCCATCAGATCAGAGTTTAGACTACACGATATATAAGCATTTATTTACTTTTTTTGATTCCCAGCTTGATCAAAAATACATCTATTTCAGGACTGTTAAATAAGTGTTTTTTGATAGTTTCAGAAATCTAGCACATTTAATTTCTGCAAGCACTTATTTACCCCATTATTTATGTGCTATCTGCCATAGTACCTTAGCATTTCAGGCAACCTGGGGAAGAAAAATGAGTTCCCCAAAGATGTAACAGTATTACTTAACACTAACATATGTCACCCACTACGCTAACTGCATTTAATCCTTATAAAACTCAATGAGATAATCATGTTACAGAATGAGAAACTAAACAAAGTAACTACTCTAAGCAGAAGAGTGATCATTTGAACTCAGATCTGACTCCAAACTCCAAAGGCTGCAACAAATAATTGATGCTATCAATCAATAATCTCAATGATTTAATAATTCATAGCAATAAGGCTTCACAGATACAATGCCCTATTTGTACTAATCTTTCACTTATTAATCTAAATGCCCCATAGTCAATAGAATTTGTGTATATGAATGCTACCTTATGATCCACCAATCTTTTCAGGATCATTTCCCTTAAAAAAAATGACAATTCTTCCAAAACAATAAATGTTTCATATTGTGTAGAAAAAAGTTAGCAGAGCAGGTCTAAGTACACTGCCTTAAAAGGGCTTGCTTTCAAAGTTAGCCCTATAACCCTAAATTTCAGGAGGGTTCCCAACATTTCCTAATTGACAAACGTGGTTTTGTGTGCCTAAACTACTTATACAAAAAATATGGTTCAGGCCTTCGTTCAGGGAGTATGGAATTATAGTACTTGCTAGGGAGAGTACCTATGTGACCACCCCCGGTAAAGATCTTGGGCACTAAGTCTCTAGTGGGCTTCCCTGGTAGACATTTCGCCAATTTGTCACAACTCATTGTTAGAGGAATTAAGGAACTCCTGTGGGAATCCACTGAGAAAGAACTCTTTAAGCTTCTGCTGATTTCCTCCAGACTTAGCCCATGCGCTTTTTCTCTACTGAATTTGCACTGCATCCTTTCACTGTAATGAATCACAGCCATTGAGTACAACTATATGCCCAGTTCTCCTAGCAAATTACCAAATCTGAGGGTAGTCTTAAGAACCACCAATATAAATAATTTACTTTTTTATGTGTAATAAATTCAATTATAATCTTTTAGATTATAAACCCCTTGGTGGCAGAACCTCATATTATCAATCTTTGTATCCCTCACAACCAACACATTAAAATAGCAGGGTTATTTATATTGCCTTTCCCAACTAGAATGTAAGCTCCACAAGAGCAGGGATTTTTGGTCTGGGTATTGTTTTCCCATAGCTATTATCCCTATACCTATAATGCTTTATATATTAAAGCTTCAAGGAATATCTTTACAATTGACTTAACATTTCTTCTGATAACCCAATTTAACTTGGTCCTCATGAGATTCTCTGCATAGAAATATAAAATCAAATATAATGCCCCTTACAGAATGATTTTATCTATGAACAAACATAATTTAAATAAAAATACTTACTCTCCTCTGATTTTACCACCCACCAATTAGACGGACGTCTGGAAATTCTTCGACTTCTCCTGACAGTTGAAGTCACTTCTTCAGGTATAAGTTTGTCCTTGGACTCACTGGAAAGGTGCCTCTTTTTAGATTCTTCCTTATCTTTTCTAGTGCTACTTTTCTTGCTTCCTAAAGTAAAGAAAACCATAAAATCAATTAACAATCTACTAGGAGTTTTCAGGAAACTATAACATTAAAAAAAAAAAAAAAACCTCAATTATAAGAACCTCTTAACTTTATCCTGTGGCCTTCTTTTCATCTCTATTTTTAAAAGTCACATGTTCTCTTTCTGTCAATTATATGTGCTGAAGTAAGCACTAATTTTCTATTAAATGCAAACTTTTCACATTGCTTGATAACTCTTATATACTCCTCAGCCAAAAACAATAACTTCTGAAACTGAAAAATATACAATTCCTTCCTACAATGTCCCAAGTAAAAGGAATTACTGCTTTCTTGTTTTGAAATGATTTTTTTCAATCTAATTCTTAGGAGATTAAAAGTGTGATTAAATTATAAACCCTGAAATACAGGTATTATCTTGGATTATCCAGGTTGACCCAATCTAATGATATGTTTCCTTTAAAAGATGTGGTCAGAGAGATGAGATGATGGAAGAAGAGCCAAGATAAATTCAAAACATCAGAAGGCTGGCATTGCTGGTTTTGCAGACTGTGGAGGAGGACCATGAGTCAAGGAACATAGGTAGTTTAAACAGGCTGGAAAAGGCAAATAAACAGATTTTCTCCTAGAGCCACTAAAAAGAAAGAAAACCCCACCAATACCTTGATTTTATCCCAGTGAGACATCTGACCCACAAAACTGTAAGATAACCAGTTTGTTGTTTTAAGACACTAAGTGTGTAGTAACTTGTCATATGACAGCAATAGAAAATTAGTACAATTAGTATGGAAATTAATAAGAACATTATATTCACTAACCAATCTAGATAAAGAATACATGTAAGAATCAGTGTGTAGAATATAGCAGGTACTCAGTAAATGTTTAATATTTACAATTATAGAAAGCATCCTTCATGTATACTTCCTTTATATGTCTTTTCCTAAGAAATTATGAATAAATCAAAATTTTATACCCTTCCTTTTCATATATATGCATGTATATATATTATCTATTGTTCTACAGAACCCACCACAATGATCTTGTTAACAGCAGAAATAATGGGTTAGTAATTTTTGTGACTACAGTGCCTAACACAGTGTCTGGCATTCAACAACTGTCAGATAAATGAGTGAATGATGGAAGATAATGGATTTTTGTTTCTATAAAAAATAGCCCCATGCCACCCTAGAATTTCTTTTAACATTTTTATTTTCTAAAGAATTTATGCACAAAGGGAGGGGAACATCACACACTGGAGTCTGTTGTGGGGTGGGGGCTATAGGAGGGATAGCAGGAGGTGGGGAGATTGGGGAGGGATAACATTAGGAGATATACCTAATATAGGTGACAGGGGGACGAAGGCAACAAACCACCATGGCATGTGTATACCTATACAACAATCCTACAAAATCTACACACGTACTCCAGAACTTAAAAGTAAAATTAAAAAAAAAAAAAAAAAATAGAATTTATCATTCTGTCTTATTCATGTTGATACTAACTTGTTTACTAGCCTTTCCTTTTCACTTTGCCCTCTATATATACTGCCATCTCACAAGATAAACAAAAACCATGAGTTAGAATCAAATTATATATAAAATAAAAAGATTCTAGAAAATAACCTATAGACTTTTGAGGCTCTTTGTTGATTTAAGTTTACTTTGCCTACTTGCCAAAGCTAAATTAGGATATTAAAAACATCAAATGGGTAGAATAATGATCACAGTTATATTTAATATAAACACTTACTCAAAGGTGACATCTGTTTTTTGGAAGCACGATCATTTCCCATCTCTTCACACTCTTCCATATTTCTGTCTGAATTTCTTTGAAATTTGTCTTGGGTAATATGTGATGTATACATGTTTTCATCTTTAGACTGTCCCATGTCAAGCTGTTCTTTAGCTAGTTTAGCCTTAAATTTTCTTCTCTGTTTTTGTTTTATAGTCCTTTTGCTTCCAGATGATTTTTTTGCATTCTCAGAATACATTTCATATTTTGTAGATCTACAATCATTTACTATTTCACCTGTCAAAGCATTACTTGTATCCAGTACTGTTTTATCAGAGGGCTGAGATGTCTCTACTGAGTGAGTTTTATGGGAATGTTTGTCATTTGTCAAAGTCTTAGGTGACATATTATGATGTTTTTCTCTTGACTTTCTACCTTGAAGGACTGTAGTACTCTCAGCCGGAGATGTTATGCGTTGTTTCAGAGGCCTTGGCTTTCTTGGTATTGTAATCCAAGATCTACTGGCAAAACTTTTATCTGACTCATCAATTATAAATTCATCCTCTATCAACTCCTTATCATCTGGAGGGCATGAATGAGGTAGAGCAGTTGTCGCATGCCTAACAATGGGACTAAAAAAGGGTGATACTTTTAACAGTTCAAAAAAATGAAGCTTTTATCTTTGTTTAGCAAAGAAAATAATCTAGGAAACAAAATTTACATATCTTCTAAACAGTTTATATATCTCCTCAATTTTCCCTTCATCTTAAAAATCTTTCCCTCCTTTTACATTTCAATGTCTGTTCGCCTTCATTTATAACAATGACATCATAAAACTTTAGAGCTGGAAATTAGAGATGGACATCAACTAATTTGGTCCCACTCACTCACACATTATATATACTAAAACTGAAGCCCAGAGAGGTAAAATTATAACCCAGATACACTGAGTTGCAGTCCAAAATGAATGCCATTATAATATATAATGGTATAATTAATTATATATTTGTATATGTGCCTTTTGGGGTCTGAATTCTTCACTTTCAAAATAAATCAACAAGATTATTTCTGAGGAAACTCCAAGTCTGATATTCAAATGGAATACTACTAAATTATAAGAGATTGGAGAGGCTGGGTGCAGTGGCTCACACCTGTAATCCCAGCACTTTGGGAGTCTGAGGGGGGTGGATCACCTTAGGTCAGGAGTTCAAGATCAGCCTGGCCAACATGGTGAAACCCTATCTCTACTAAAAATATCAAAATTAGCCAGGCATAATGGCGGATGCCTGTAATCCAAGATACTCAGGAGGCTGAGGCAGGAGAATCGCTTGAACCCAGGAGGGAGAGGTTGCAATGAGCCGAGATCATGCCACTGTACTTCAGTCTGGGTGACTGGGTGAAATTCCGTCTCAGGAAAAAAAAGAGAGAGAGAGAGAGAGAGAGAGATTGAGGAAAATTTCTTCCAATGTTTCTTTTACATCTCAAGTTCTTTATACATAGCAACACCAAATACACAGACGGCTGAACGAATGTAAAAATTACTAACATTACTATAGAACTGTAAACTGTAGACCCACAGAACTATAAAATAATATATGTTTGTTGTTTTAAGCCACTAAGTGTGTACTAACTTGTTATATGACAGCATATGCGTAAAAATTCATTCCAAATTTGGCATTTCATATATAAGGTAGCTTAAGCACAAAAGAAATCTAGTGCCATAGAAACAGGAAAAAATAAAAGGCAAGTCTTATTACAAAGCTTACAATGCTATAGAATCTGTTATAAATAATGAAGTCAAAGTCAAACAATGTTTCCCAACTCTAGACCTTTCTCCATAGTTATAGCCCAAACTTTATGTATTTTACTAAAAGGCAGAATACCTGTATTATGACTATTATTGTTATTTCCCACTCCCAGTGTTGTAAAAGGATAAACAGTAAGACAGACAATTTCAATTACAATTTTATGTCTTACAATCTAACATCAACACTAATTCTTACATTTTCATAAAATCATGTACATGTTAAGTACATACAAAGAGATTCACGCATTTAATGAGGTGTTGAATAAATTAAGACTAGTGCATACAGCACCTCCTCCAATTAGTCAGGAAAGTTTTCTAGAGAAGGAAGGAACTATTCCAAGGATGGTAATCTGGTAGACTGACTTATGTTTCATTTCCCTGCTTTTTATAATAGCCTTGAGTACATCACATATTGCAGTGAGATACAAAAAATAAAAAACAAGGTAAACATCCAAACTCCAAAGCTAGCATATGCACCCTTGTTTCTGCTTTTTCCATTGGATGAGAAGGCTTACTTAGCTATGGTTAGCCGTAACAGAAAGTAAGCCAGAATGCAAAAATTAGGTTATGTTTTTCTCTTTTAATTAGAATATACAAAAGGAATCAGAAATGAAAATGCCTTCTCTATTCCTATAATCTCAAACTCCTGACAAATCTTATAATTTAAAATAGCAAATACTCCAAGAAATATGCTCTCTAATGGTAGAGTTTCACATATTTATATAATAAAACTATAAAAACGAACAAAGAACAAAGTCAATACAAATACTACAATGAATGGATGTTTAACAGAAATGATATCCTTATGAAACAATGATGATACTATGAAAGTTTAGAATAGGGAAAGATGGCTTCTAGTTAGCTAGAAAAACCATGAAAGGCTTTGCAGCATTTAAGCTGGATCTTGATGGATTTATAAGATTTGGTCACAAGGAGATACAAGAAAGACAATCAGAAGGAAGAGCCTAAGTGGAAGCAATGATGTTAAGAAAGCACTGGGAATAGTGAATAGTTATATGTGGCTACAATAATTAAACATAAAATTAACTTTACTCACCAGAATATCAAAAAGAACATTAAAAAATAATTTCTCAGACATGATATAATTAGCTCATAATTATAACACATTTGTTTCAGATGGTGGTGACAATATCCATATGAAGGGTAAAATATATACATAAAAATAATCAACTACAGGAAACAGAGACTGAACAAAAGGGGAATTTCATTCATTCATTCAACATGTTGTTATAAAAACTTCCTTTTCTTTGAGACAGAGTCTCACTCTGTCACCCAGGTTGGAGTGAAGTGGCACAATCTCGGCTCACTGCAGCCTCCACCTCCCAGGTTCAAGTGATTCTTTTACCTCAGCCTCCCAAATAGCTAGGATTACAGGAACATGCCGCCATGCCTGGCTAATTTTTATATTTTTAGTAGAGATGAGGTTTCACCATTGGTCAGGCTGGTCTCAAACCCCTGACCTCAAGTGATCTGCCCGCCTCAGACTCCCAAAGTGCTAGGATTACAGGCATGAGCTAGTGTGCCCAGCAATAAAAAATTCCTAGTATGTTCACTAACACTCTGATACCTCTGGTAGTGACATGGGGGACCCTAAAATAATGATTTTTAAATACTGCATTGTCGGCCAGGCGACATCTCTCTTTATAGGTCAGACAAAATTTTCAATTAAAATTGTTGTTAATTAAAGGATTTATTTCTAAGTTAAATAACATTAGGAATCCTTATACATACTTCATAGACTAGAAAAGAAAAATGTTTCAAAGGATAGTTTCTTAATAACTCACCTGTATTCACTTTTTCGTTTTATCGTTTCTAAAAACAATGTTGAAAAACTTTTAGCTTGTGGTTGAATTTCATATTCTGAATCTTGCATTTTATTCTGAGATGATCCCAATGGTTGCCTTTCTTGTCTTTCTGATGTTTTATCCTCTTCATCTGATACTTTATTATCTATTTCTATTTTCCTTAAAATAACTTTATCTTCAAAGTTTAACCTAAAAGGTTAAAAGGAGGATAAGCTGAATGCTCCTGTAACATTTCTTGAGTTATGAGTCTTTCTGAACTCCCTTACGGACAATACAGACCACTTTAAAATTCTGTACTAGGCCTTTATTTAAAACATAAATGCTGATTTCTGCACTCCAAATACACAAGATAAACTGCTCAGGAAAATTAACTTTTGTATTTAGCAATAGAAAAACATAAAAAGAGAAAACAATAGTCAAAGTATACATCAATGAAATGTATAGCTAGATGATCGTTCTCAGGGCAATCTTAGAGCACAGTGACAGACCAAACTTTGAATAGTAAAATCTTAGAATATACTTAACTCCTTGGCTCCAGGAATCACACAATACTCCAGATAGAAATTACACTCACTACAGAGATCTCCAACAGCAAAAGTCCTTGAACAATCCACTTTGCTTCCTAAAGGCCAAAGGTAAGGCCAAGAAAGAGAAACCAGCTGTCCACAAAGCACAGTGTCCTCAATAATAGGTATGCTCTGCTACCCTAGAAGTTACCTGATATATACCTACACTTGCAATTATAAAAAATACTGAGGAAATACAAATTGTTTATCTTAGGAAGCAGTCAAATACTATCAGAGAGAAAACACATTTTTCTACAGACTATAGAAAAGTTAACCTCTAAACTTCCCTGAAGTAAACTTTAAGGCCTTCCTTAATTATTATAAACTGAATATATGCTAAATGTATATTTTCTCATGTTAATATGTTAACATGTTAACATTCCTCCTTCCTTACTGTAAAATTACATAACAAGATTGAATTACCATTTTTTAATATAAAAGGTAAAATTTTTAAAGTGCAATTAATATTATTTAAATAAAATGTACCTTTTTTTGGTTTTAAGTGAAATCTCTGTACTTGAAGGCAGCGTATTTACTGAATTTTCAAAAGTGTAAGTCTCTCTCTTTTGGGCACTAGATGAAATAACATTTTGCGATACAGATGTTTTTGCATCCAAAAGAACAGAAGGTGAGCCAACAGATAAGTAAAATTCGTCATCAGCTTCACTGTGATGATCATTTATGTTTCTACTTGACGTTTTTTTCGAATCAGACGTATTTTTGGAACTAATATCAGTTGCCAGGATTTTCTGATGAACTTCATGGGCCTGAGCTAGAAGAAAATTATATAAAGATACTGTCAATTAAAAGAATATTAAGAGAATCAAGCAGGCTTTTCAAAATTCAGAAATAATTTAATCAGAAATAGTTTTCAGAAAACTCAAAAGTCATTAAGATTAGAACCAAAGATACACGATTAAAATAAGTACTTAAGATTCTTCTATCTTTGGGCTAAAAACTGGTGACCTAGGACAGTTAGATGATCACATCTTTATACATATACACATGAATATAGATATAACACATATAAAGATGTGATGTAAGCATGTATGCATATATACATACACAGTATATATGTATATGAACATTTATCTATGAGAAAAAAAATATATATATATATATATTCTAAACCCTCATCCTTCTGAACGAGATAGCATTTCCCTGTTTCTCCCTCTAAATACAACTAAATTCCCTGGAAGTTATCCATCAATCAACATTAGGATTCTGAAAGCCGAAAGAAAAAAGGCAGGCTATCTAGGAAACTCAAGGCAGGCAAGGAACAGACAAGGCAATTGAGTCCCTTGGGTTTTCTCTTTGTCTCCCATATACCCCCGGATGGGTAGTGGAGAAACCTACAAGCTGGAACTATCAACAGGTGAAAGACAGGGTGGGGGCTGGGTGGAATCTGCATTCTCTGAACAAGGTGAACCCAATAAAGACCTAATGAGAAAATTCAAGCCTCATTCTGCATTGTAGACCGTGGAGCACTGCTTACTACATGCACTAGCAGAGCAACAAAGCCCTGAGCTGTGCTATGGACTGTAGCAGCAAAGGAGTTCATACCACGCCAGTGCCACTTCAACAATCATAGATGGCAAGCAGTATGACCCACAGGTAGCTGTAGAGGAGTGAAACCCCTGACCTTCACAGCCCAAGGCAACATTTTGATCCACGGATAGTATTGGCACCCCAGGTCATCCCAGTTCCTACTTTACCAACCAGGGCAGCAGCAGACGGTCTAATCTGAGGCAACAACAGTATAAGAGAGGCCAGCATCCCCCTGTCCTCCACCCAATGATATAAGAAAACTCAGGCCCAGCAGCTTTTAACCAGAACTCCACATAGGTGAACAAGGACATCAAAAGGTACCTTCCACCCACCCCACACAGCACCAACAGGAACTGAGCTAGAATTCTAACAGCATCAGAAAATGAAGTAGAACAAAATACCACTGCTATTACTCTGAACACTTAACTATCATTGAAAACAGGACTCATAAAACTAGGAAAGGGAGGGTGGGCTCAGTAGTTCACGCCTGTAATCCCAACACTTTGAAAAGCCAAAGTGGGTGGATCATTTGAGGCCAGGAGTTCGAGACGAGCCTGGCCAACATGGCGAAACTTCTTCTCTACTAAAAATACAAAAATCAGCCAGGCACAGTGGCACATGTCTATAATCCAGCTACTCTGGAGGCTGAGGCATGAGAATCACTTGAACCCAGGAGGCAGTGGTTGCAGTGAGCTGAGATCACTCCACTGCACTCCAGCCTAGGCGACAGAGCAAGACTCTGTCTCAAAAAATAAAAATAAAAAAAAGAAACTCGCAAATAAGTAGTAATTTTTTTAAAAGAAGTTTTTTGAATAGCAGCCATTATAGGTACGTAGTGGTTTTTAAATGTTGTTTTAAATTTTCCTAATAACAATGATGTAAAAGAAATCAAAACTATAACATACTACATCACACCCATTAGGATGGCTATTTACATAAACAAAAAATAACAACTGTTGATGTAGAAAAATTGGAATCTTTGTGCATGCACTGCTGGTATGAATGTAAGTGTACAGTGGATCCTTAAAAACTTAAAATTGAAAGCAGGAACTCAAACAGATACTTTCACACCAATGTTCATAGCAGTATTACTCACAATAGCCAAAAAGTGAATACAACTCAAGTGCCCATCAACAGATTAATAGATAATACGTGGTATACACATATAATGAAATATTACCAATCTTAGAATGAAATTCTGACACATGCCACAACACGGATGAACCCTGAAGACATGCTAAATGAAATAAGCCAGTCAAAGACAAACTTTCTGTCTGAAACTCATAGAGACAGAAAAAGTAGAATGGTGGTTGCCAGGGGCTGATGCAAGAAGAGATACTGTTTAATGGGTACAGTGTTTCAGTTTTGCACAATGTAAAAGCTCTATAGATTCATGGTAGTGACAGCTACACAACAACGTGAATGTACTTGAAGCTACTGAACTGTATATTCAAAAATAAAGTGGAAAATTTTATGTTTATTACACAATATTCTAAAATACATAATTTCTTTAAAACAGCAAAGAAAGTGATGTGTGTATATAAACAACTATTCAAAGTCTTGTAAAGTTAAAAAATATTAACACACATGACAACAGAAATAAACAACCGTAGTATTTAAGTTGCGAATTAGTTGTTTCAGTTACTATGACTGCATAATATAATTCCTTAACTTGGTTGCATAAAACAACCATTTGTTATGTTCATGGATTCAGTAGGTCAGGAATTCAGAAGAGCACAGAAAGGATGGCTTCTTCCATGAAGTCTGAGCCCTGGAATCATCTGACAGCTTGTTTACACATATTTGACACCTTGTCTTGGCTGCAGGCTGGCAGTCTTTCTCTCCATGGCAGCTAGTTTGGGTTTCTTCATAGCATATTGTCTGGGTTCCAAGTGTAACTGGAGAGAACGAGAGGGTGACAGACAGAGAAAGAGAGAGAGAGAGAGAGAGAGAGAGAGAGAGAGACAATGGGGGTGGGGGGATCCAGCATGCCAAACAGAGCCATATAGCCTTTTATGACCTAATCATGGAAATCGCATGTATTACATATGCTATATTAGATGTATGATATGTAGAAACAACCTAACTGAAGTGGATGGGGGTGGGGGGAAGGTGATGACCTAGGAAAGATCAGAAATGAATTGAAGGCTGGGTGCGATGGCTCAGGCCTGTAATTCCAGCACTTTGGGAGGACGAGGTGGGCAAATCACCTGAGGTCAGGAGTTCAAGACCAGCCTGGCCAACATGGTGAAATCCAATATCTACTAAAAATACAAAAATTATCTGGGCATGGTGGCTCGTGCCTGTAATCCTAGCTACTCAGGAGGCTGAGGGAGGAGAATCACTTGAACTCCAGAGGCAGAGGTTTCATTGAGCCAAGATCATGCCATTGCACTCCAGTCTGGGTGATAACAGCAAAACTCCGCCTTAAAAAATAAAACAAGAAATGAATCAGCTGTGCATTGCAGTGGCTCACACCTATAATCCCAACACTTTGGAACACTAAGCCCAGCAGATAACTTGAGGAAAGGAGTTCAAGACCAGCTGGCTAACATGGTGGAAACCCTGTCTCTACTAAAAATACAACAAAAATTAGATAAGCGTGGTGGCCAGCGTCTGTAATCCCAGCTACTCAGGAGCCTGAGGCAGGAGAATCGTTTGAACCCTGGAGTCAGAGGTTGCAGTGAGCCGAGATCTCTCCACTGCCAGGGTGACAGAGGGAGACAATATCTCAAAAAAAAACCAAAAAACCAAAAACACCAACAAAATGAATGGAGTCTGTAAGACTGAAGGCAAAAGAAACTGTACATAAGCATAAGCACTATGCTCTAGTTGACAAAACTGTTTTCCACAGGATATGAATCAACAATTCTGCCACTCTTTTACATGTATACAGAAATGAAAAAGGTAAGTAAACAGATAGTGAATGGTGAACACCAAGTTTCTAATCCATGTAATGGGAGTTTACAGATAAGCAAGGGGAGGAGGCTAGAATAATCCATGTGGTAATGGATTAGAGTCAGAGATGTCAGTATGAACTTGTGTTTATTTCAACAGATACAGTTAGTTACATTTAAAGATATTTATAAATACGTTTATACACAAGTTAGTGTACATACACACAATTACCTGGTTCTGTCAGTTGAAAGGGTCTAGAAGCAACAACTCCACAGGAGTGACAGCACACCTAGCATTCAGATCTTGGTTTCTAATACCATTACCCAGTAAAAGAAATCGTGATTCCATGAAGAAACGGTTGATTCTGGGATAGGGAAGGAGAGCATCTTGTGGCTCCAAAAGGTAAGAAAGTGTTCAGAAACAACAACAAAACTGACCTATGTCACTAGAACCAAAGTAAGAGCTTCTATTAGCCAAATCTGGAACAATTTGAACAAAATAAATAGTAATGAATTATAAAGTAGAAATAAAATTTCCCCATCAAGAGTAAAATAAACCCAATGAAGCAGAGGATTGGAAACAATAAAGAGCAGAAATCAATAAAACTGATAATAGAAAAATACAGAAAATTATTGACACAAGGTATTCTTTGGGGAAAAAAACTACAAAATGATAAACATCTATCTAACAAAATTAACAACGACAAGAAGACACCAACCACCAATATGTGGAATAGAACAAAGGATAATATCACAATAGATTTTGCAGCCATCAAAAATAAGGTAATGCTTCGCTTTGAAAACTGACACGAAATGAGGATGCCCTCTCTCACCACTCCTATTCAACAAAGTATTGGAAGTTTCGGACAGGGCAATGAAGCAAGAGAAAGAAATAAAGGGTATTCAGACAGGAAGAAAGGAAGTCAAACTGTCTCTGTTTGCAAATGATGGGATTATATATTTAGAAAACCCCACTATTTCACCCCCAAACTTGTTAAGCTGATAAGCAACTTCAGCAAAGTCTCAGGAATACAAAATCAATGTGCAAAAATCACAAGCATTTCTATACACCAATAATAGACAAGCAGAGAGCCAAATCATGAGTAAACTCCTGTCAACAACTGCTACAAAGAAAATAAACTACCTAGAAATACAACATATAAGGGACATGAAGAACCACTTCAAGGAGAACTGCAAACCAATGCTCAAAGAAATAAGAGAGAACACAAACAAATAGAAAAAAACTTCCATGCTCATGGATAGGAAGAATCAACATCATGAAAATGGCAATAATGTACAAAGTAATTTATACATTCAATGCTATTCC